TTTGGCTTAATTGAGTCTATATAAGAGGTAAGATAAAGCCGGATAGTCTTCTTGCCCTTCTTGTTAGCGTGAGACCTTTACAGGAATTATACCCAGCTCTGATGATGTTCATCAAAGGATGGACGAAAGCTCAGCCTGTTTTTACCCGAAACGGGTGAGGTCACGTGGACTGCGTCAACCTGAACTTTGTATAAAAGCCAAACGGCTGCAGCATAACGGGATTCATCCGTTCTCTTCTGGTGAGATCTACCTTCGAATCTCTTATTCATGCACTTTCATACGAAATGAAAGTCCCCCCAACAATGTTATCTCAGGAAATTCATCGAAACCCAGTTTCTCTTCATATTCATTACTTATGTTCACTTCCATTGTTGTTATTATACTTATTCAAGATCGAAACTCCAATCCATTTTGTATGAGAACTTGCCTCTAATAGGCAACATATTCAAACTGTAAAAAGCAACTTCTAATTTTTCTGGGGCTGATCCATTGTCACTGTCTATAACACCATTTGATTCATTGTGTCTTTTTGAACTCAAATACTATGTTTCCTAACGGACTTAGCCTACCACTTTTTTATTTCACTCAAGTGATGTCACATTTTTAAAGGAATGAAAAATATTTTTTTATTTTTTGATGTGAGTAGGCTTCAAGATTTGTTATTTCTTGACTAATAACTAAGACATTAGATACGAAGACCAAGATGTGGTCTCTATTTTGGTCCGAATCTTCTTTTGATGTATAGTAGTTTTTTGACCTTGTTTTCGCAACTTGGTCATATTAATAGGAAGATCTAGAGGAACGCACCTTGTCCGGAGTCCATAGCATGCAATATAATTTCCAGATTCTGACCTTGTACTTGATACATTCCCAGACGCTTCGCTGGCATCGTCAGTGATTCTTGACATCCTCACCACCAAGCTACAACCCGTCAAAGGGATAAGCGAGATCAACCCCCTTACCAACTTTTTGCCAAAACGGTTGTGTTATCACTCCTATTCTTGTACTGGTCCGTCTCGCCCTCGTCCTATCACAACTTCTGACTTGCTTATATTCCAGTCGTCAAAAGGTGTGCCTTTTGGGCGAATTTACCGTGGCATCATTGCGCCTGTTGCTTACCTTGCTCCCATCCCTTTCGAGTGGCTGATCCTTGCTCGGTCCTCTTATCCAGATTTGTCTTATGGGCCCGTAGATCCGTTTCTTATCTTTCTGGTTGACTGATTTTACTCTTTAGCCGTAATGTACTTCTTACTCCAGGTGATATTTCTCAAGCCTTCAGTAGCACGTACAATGTCGCCTCACCTGCAGACCCCCTAGGCTCTGATTTCTATGCTTTCGGATATTGGGCATTGCCTTTCAGGCATCATCACCTTGATTGAACCCGTGTACCCTGAGCAAACTATGGACATCTATCTCTGATTGCCTTTTGCCTCTCGAGTAGATTTAAAATCATTTTGATTATACGGTTTTCACACTATAAGTCTGATTTGTAAAGTATGGCTTTCTTTAAATGCCAATTTGCCCTTTGACGAATTTGTACCGATGCCTATATAGTGGAGTGCTGTGCCACTGCTCACGACCCCTGTAAAATCCTCTTAGATGTGCTGATTAGAGCTAGGCATGGTCTAACTGTAATGCATATTGGATACGGAAACCTTTTGGATCGTGAGACCCACATATATCTTTGTGGGTATATATCAATATTTGCACCAAACGGGTATCTTGTTTTCCATTCCTTCTTAGCATTTACAATAGTTTATTTTTGCTACATGATATTGTTGCGAAAATTTTGAATTCATAATCTATCCTTTAATTACATTTGTTCCCTCATCACTTTTATTCAAAATTTATTTTCCCCCTCATTAGCTTATTAATTCTCTTTTATTTATTTTTACTTATCTTAGTTAACACAACTAATCTCAATAGTCTGCTTGCTCAATCGCCCAATGCCGATAGCCCGGGCCTACTTTCTGCTTCTCATGTCGTTCCTCCACCGCCACCACAATTTCCTCCCTCTGGACTATCTCGTCCTGGTTTCATCGCGAGTTCTGGCCAATCGTCCCGAACAGGTATGCTGTTCAACCAGGCTTGCAATGCAGGGATGGCAAGTCAGCAAACCCTTATAGCTGGGCAACAGCAACAACAGCTATCATGTTATCTAGGGACAGGAAGACCAGTGGCTATGCTGAAGCAGGCACAACAACAACAAATTCAGCAAGCAGCCCCATCTTTCTATGAAACTTTGGACAACATGATGGCCGAATTTGAGGAAATGGCAAGAGAAGAGGCCAAAGATCCTAACCATGCTGCTCGTGTTCGTGCAGCTGTAAACGAGGTAAGTTTGGGTGTACGATAATCATTTATGCTTGCCTGTCTCCTAGTCATAATGTAGATAAAA